AAATCAAGGTTGTCAAGCCCATTAGGAACGGAAAATAGAACACCGGAAAAGGGACCACCGGGTTCCGCAAAGAAGCGCCTTTCTTTCCCACCTTCACCGGCCAGACCTAGGCGGTATTCAGCCCCACCAAAGGTGGACAACTCTCCCATCGCTGACAATGATGCGAATGGAGTGATCAATTGATTATCTCCTACCGTTCTAAATTCAGCAGATCCCATAAGCTGACACAATTAAGTGGTAGAGAAAAATAAAGGAAAAAGGGTCAGTTTCCTTTGTGAAATTCCACTTCAATTTATTTGTTTATTTGCTTTGTGGGCTTGGTTTGGGTTGATTTCAATTAGTCTCTCGAGTGATTCTTGCTAAAAAGTTGTTTCTTATTCTCTCTCAATTGTTAAGATTTTCATATTGTGAATTATTATTGGTGATTGTTTGTCTGTAACTTATTGTCTTAACTCTTAATTGATCGTGGAAATTTGATTTTTTTAAATTTATTTTTTTATATAAAATTATGTCAGATCAAACATCCAAATATGCCAATATACACAGTCACGATGTGCTGCCAGGGAGGGTTTGACACACTCCTAGACAGCACACTCACAATAGGAAGATCATTTGTGGTATTTTTTATTCTCGTGGGTCCCACATTGGTCTCACGCACATGCGATTGTAAGTCAATCAAGATGTCAAATATTTTCTGATAAAAGAACTTTTTCGTCAATATATATCGTGGAATTGATTGACCTGGCTAACGGTCAATTGGCAGCAATAAAACACAAAATAACATAATCTTGATGGGATATTCTTAAAATTTAGGACTAGGTTTTATTTTTTATAAATTTACTAATTTAAGTTGCTTAAACGATACGTGAATCATTTACTGGCTAAATCTACGTGAAGATATAAAAATCAATTAAGAGTTTACATGTTATATATTCCTCCAAAAAAATTAGGAACTTAAACAAGTCAAGTCGAAACTCGTGACTTGGATATGGCATGGGTAAAAAATGGCCCAAACTTTTTTTGCCTGAACCGAACTAAGCAAAAGCTCGGCTGAAAAATTTAGGCTCTGCTCGAGCTTTTGACTCAGGCCTTATCGAATTGAGTCAGCTTGATATTTTCTTTTCGATTTCTGGCATTTGTGCTGCCTGTTTTAAAGGCAGCGATAGCTGCTTGAAACATGCAGCTATGCCGCCTTCTGTGCTATCGCTTTGAAGGTAGCCAAGCTGCTTGTTTCAGGCAACTTCACTACCCATTTTAGACAGTTACAATTGTTGCCTTTTGTTTGATTGCTAACAGAGGCCGACTCAAGCTCGAGTCGATGCTCAAAAATGAGGCTCGACACGAGCCTCTGCTTGGTTCCTTCGAGCCGCGAGTCGGGCCGGCTTGGACTTTTTCTGATCGAGCCAGGGCAGCCTTAGCCGATGAACCAAATTGACATCTCTTACAAAAATCATGCCACTATAGTGAACAGAAGTTGTCGAGCTAATTAACTTTATTTTCAGTTAAGTTAAGAGTAGTTTATTTTAACTTTTTTTTTTTTTTGGTACAATGAATCATTCGCAACGTTAAGTGACATGTTATTTTTTGAACGTCGAATGCTAAAATAGGATACGCAAAAATAAATTACTTTTGTATTGGTCCCTCTTGACTAATGATCAGCTTGTGGTCGTCTTCTTCTTCTCGTTATGACTGGACTTGTCATCGCTATTCTAAAGTTTCACATGCTTCTCATCGTACCAATTTAATTGTGAATAAACTTAAAGACATCTTTGATGCATTGTATCCATGATTGAACGAGTTTGCACAAAATTAACTAAGAACATTTCCAAGTAACTCTTTATTTTTAAATAACATATTCTATCATTTGAAGAGCATATATAAATTTGGAGAGTTGAAATTTTGAAATATTTCAACAAGTTCTTTATATTTAACACTTAATCTTACTACTCCCTAAAAATATTTATTATTTTTTTATCTTTTATTTTAACTAGTTTTTCTTTAGATTATTTTATTATTTTCTTACATTAAAAATTAAAACACTTTGAATACATTTAATTTTTGAGAATGAGTTTTTGGAGAGTCAAACTCACTCTCTAAATTAAAATGTTAATTTAAAAAGTTTCCTGAAACATAATTTTAAAAATTGACTCTTTAAAATAGAGAGTATTTCATATTTAACGAGTGATACTCTAAGAAAGTTACTCGGTGCATATTTGTAAAATTCGCATTCAGAGCCCAGGTGCAAAGAGAAGTCTTAGAGCCCAAGCTTTAATGTCCATTTATATAGACCCATTTTTGTGTGGGGAAAAATTCATAAATAAGGTGTATTCTTTACACCAATTCAAAAATAAGGTTTATAGTTTGAAACTTCAAAAATCAGGTTTTTTTTTTTTTTTTTTTTTTTTTTTTTTTTTTTTTTTTTT